AGTTCTCATTATTATTTGAGTACGAGCTTCTTCAAGTTTGGATAAAAGATGCGTATTCTGTTATAAGCATGTTATAGATCAAAGCTAATAATGCAATATCATTCACTCAAGTATCACATAAAGTAAGTTATTTATGTATCTATTTTAAGTTTGCTTAGTGTTTTATTTTTGTTTTTCATATCTTCAGGAAGGGTTTGCATTTGCTCATTGCACAACTTGCAAGGCTCCTTATCATTTGAGAGTCCATGTTGTTGCTGATAGGAAATGGCGAACTTTGAAGTTTCGATTTTTTGTGACTCGAGATATTTTATTTATCTTTCTTGCTGTTCAGTTGGTAGGTCATTACCACTTTCTTTTCTTTTCTGTTTGCTTTTCTATTTCTCTTATTCATTTCTTGCTGTTTTTTTCGATATTATGCCAGGATTTACTAGAAATGATGTGAAAAAGTTGTTTCGATAGTGTTATTCTGATTTCCCTGTCACGTCCTCCTTGTTACAGGTTATTGCGTTGTTGACATATGTGGTGTATTTCATTGATTGCTACCAGAAATTTTGGCTTCGACAGGCCTGGGGTTTCGATAGCGGACTAAGTTTCTACTACATATGTGGTAAAACATCTTCAGATCGGATTCTTCTAATTTGATGCTTTAATTTGTTCATCTTATCGTTTAGTGAGCGTGATGGTGTTTATTTTTCTGAACTGTCAGTCTTTGGATTTAGTTATGATTCTCTAAGGTTCCTGATTTGTATGGTGAAATTGCATCATATTAGGGATGACCTACTTGAGTACTTGCCACAGATATACAATGATATTTCAGACGATCTCCATGATGTAATTGGATTTTGAGAAACTTGAAGGCATTCCAGAAACTGCTTTTCTTGCCCATGAGAAGAGCTCTTATTGTGCTATCAGTGAACAATGGTCCTTGCTTGCTACTTCAATATCTATAAAAGATTAATTGTTAATCCAAAGAAATTCGGAATTGTTGTTTGTAATTTGTGTCCAAGAAAATTGTAAACTATGTGAGCTAGTTATCATAATTTGAGATCTTGGGGTGGACAAATGTTGGGTGTTGTTCTTTTGTCTCCTTCTCTCCCCTGTCCCAACCATGTGAGAATTACTCCATTCCTGCTTGGTTTCTACTTCCTCCTACCTATCCCTTTTCATGTCTGCTTGTGTGTCTAGTTGTATGTGGTCGCTTTTCTTCTCATCTCATTCCTTTCTGTCTAAGCCTCGTTTCTCTTCATGTACACAATTGTGGATAATTTTTAAGAAATTATATGACACCTGGAAATATATCTACTTATCAAATGAACATTAATGTCTCTTATGCCTACTAAAATAAAATATTGATTCGTGAATTTAGACATAAGATTACTAGCTACATTATGTTAATTCACTTGTTGGTACATATGAAAATGGACGGAATGAATTGGAATTAGATGAACGTTAAATAACTTAAGTGAAATTGAAAATCATAAGAACCTAATCTCATAATCTTTTCAATCTTGTTAAAGTAGGTTACCTTAGTTATTATAGTTTGAATTTAGTTTCAAAACATATATTGAACCGATAATTGGTTACTGTTTTAACATAAATTGAAGCTAGGTTAATTTGAAAATTGATATTAGATAGTAGCCATGTGGGACGATATGTAGATTCAAAAATTCATTTTACTGTTTGTCACTACACTTGCGGAATCACACGAACATGTTTTTGACGCCGTTGTCGGGGACTACTTTATTTGCTTTAGTTTTTATTAATTTATTCTAGCTTTGAATTAAACTATTGTTTGTATTGATTCATGATTTTAGACATAGTGATGGTAATATTATATTGTTTTTTCTATCTGTGTAGGAGCACTGTTGTTTTTCGCATTACTGGGCTTATCTGGGTGCTTCATCACGTGTTATGACAGAAGAGTGCGCAATGACTTGGCCCAGCCATGTCGAGAATTGTGTCTTTGTTGCTGTCACCCTGGGTATATCTTCACTGTGGCTTATGATATTATGTACATGCGAACTTTGGTATTAATTTTAGAGCTTTTGACTTATTTTTAGTGTTTGGATATTTCTTTGCTGGTCATTCTGTCTTTTCTTTGGAAAGTCTTGAAAAGTTTGCATGCCTTTTTTCTCTTTCATTTTTCGAGGATGACATTTTTTGAGTGTTATATTGAGTTAAATCTTATAACATGGAGAACCCACTCTGTGCATAGCCTGATATTTTGTAAATGCTTTTCCAAGGATGGCATTTTTCTTGTTGATCCTAGCCGTGCTCAAGTCTGTCACTAGTGTTTTGAAGCATTTATCGACTGAAATTACCACGTGGAATTAATAGTTAACCTTTTTCTCGATTCTTGAAATATATGATGGTTTAATTTGATCAAATGGATCTCCCTTCCAAATATAAATATTTGTACTTGTGTCATTCATGCAGAATGTGTGCTGATTGCCATCTGCCTGGCACTCTTTGTATGTGGACCGACTGTACCACATGCTTTGAAGGTTGTGCTAGTGCAGCTGGTGAATGTGGTTGCCTGGGAGGTGCTGGCGAAGCTGGGTTGCCGCTATTATTTATAATGGCTTTAATTGTGTTGGGACTATTTACTGTAATCGGTATATTCTACAGTGTGCTTGTGGCAACCATGGTTGGACAGAGGATTTGGCAGCGACACTACCACATACTAGCAAAACGAATGCTTACAAAAGTGAGTCAGAATTACATTTCTATGTGTGTCCTGAATTTTTTGTCTTATTATGACTAGTCTTTCAACCTGCTCTTTGTGCAAAGATATATAACGTTTAAGCTCCCTTCTATTTGTCAACTCATTTTATCCAAGTGTATGATGAGAAATCTCCTAGAACATGTTGGTATGCAATATTGGACAAGACTGAATAGAGGACGTTGGGTGCACGACAAGACTAGACTGGACATGACGATACACAAGTTTTGAACTGATTTTCTTTAGTAATCAATCAAGGGGATATGGTCCTTTTTAACTCTTATTTAAGCTTCTATTTTAGCTATTTGTGCATCAGGATGTTCAAAGGAGAAGCAAACTCGTAAATAAAAGAAAGATGGAACCAGATACATTTTTTAAAGAAAAAAATTGTTTTGTTCGTTAGTCATTGACTTTTTCTTTCTGTACTTCTTTCCAAGCCATTAAGGACGATATCTCATTGAAAAACTTTGGGAGTTTCTAAGACATCATCCTCTACATAAAGTCAGGCTGCTTAATTAATGTATTAGACTTGGATCAAGCTAGGAGAATCGCTTTCAGGCTCGTTCGCTTAGCAAATCTCTAATTAGTCTTCTCTGGTGTCGGCCACAGTCCAAGAAGTAGTCTTTTACCATTTTCTAGCAAGAAGAAGTAGGAATTCGGCGCTTAAAATAAGATAGATAAATCACGCGGACTCAAGCCAGAAAAGAAAAGACTTATTNAGGCCTCTAATTTATAGCTGTAAGGTTGCTGTGTTCTGTTACAACAGACGCTGGCTGCTTCGTAATTTAAACTGAATTTATTCCCAATAAATTAATTTGGAATTCTGGATCTCCTTGAAATCTGAAGCTGCTGACCCAAAACTATTGTGATCAGCTGATCTCTTTCTTTGCACAAGTTCATATGAGAGCTTCAAGAAGCAGATTCTCTAAATTCACGTGCATCTTACTGTGGAATTGTTAATGAAAGCAACTGTTTCTAGTTCTTATTGTTTCATGTCAGGATGAGGGGATGACAGCAGCAAATATTGTAGAAGTTTCGCTAATTTCAAGTTAACATAAAATAAAACTTATTCTTAAATGTGTATAGTTGTACACATTTACTGAAGGATGACATTGGCTTTGTTAAGTTTACTTGTAACTTTCTCAATTCAAGTTCTGATTCGATAATCTTAATCAGGAACTCACTAATCTGTTTCGACAGGAATATGTTGTGGAGGATGTTGACAATGAGATGACTGGATCTGATTGGTCTCCTCCACCCCTTCCCCCCGAGCATGTTCAGCAGCTGAAAACACTTGGTCTTCTATAATATCGAAAATCTTAAAGGGAATGGCGGATATAGAGATGGACTGACTGCACCTGTATAGGCTGGTAAGCATAGACATTAATTCAATGCTATTAATCTTGAGACAACTTTTATTGGCCAATTGGAAACATGCAACCTGATGTTCGATCATGTTCATAGTGTACGAATGACAAAAAAGTAATTGTATTATCGATATAATTTCCTTTGTTATGCAGCATAAGAAGATTGATACAATTAGTAATTCAATGACGTAGTAAGAAGCATCTAATTATAGTTTTTTGACTACGTATGACTCGTATTCTCGAATTAAAATGCAGTATTCTCAGAGTATCTTGAAAGTTTTTGCAATTTGATGAGCTGTTGGTTCGTCCATGAACTTGTAGACATATTTGCAAATGACATTTGAAGATTAAAATGTTAATATTTAGTCAACGAATCACTTTATTATGTTTATGGCGTTGGTTACTAAAATAAATTACAGCGAGGCTCATTTGGTTAACCGTATTCTTGTGTGGCGCATCTGTGGACATCCAACTAAATCGAGTTGGGTTGGGACATTTAGTATCCACAGTATGCTACGTAAGAATCTCGCGAGCCAAATTAGTGTGACTATTAGTTTGAACTTGCGGAGTTGATTTCGATGAAAAATGGGGTGAACAATATAAAGTTTAGCGACCAAGTATTCACATGTCACATTTTGGGACCATTTCCAAGAACACCTTCAAGTTCCATGTTTTGATAGGCAAAAGTGGAAATGAATTCCAATTTCATGGTAGTCGGAAAATAAAACGTTTTGGTGCAACTACAAAATGCTACGTAATGAATATACTTTCATATTGTTGGTGCAACTACAAAATGCCCTTCTTAGAGAGCAAAAAAGTTTTAAGAAATCAATAGCTAGTGGACTAGTGGGTTCTTAGTCAATACCTCATTAAAAAATTAGAGCATTGTCAACAATTAGGATGGTTTAGTTACTAAATAGTTTGTATAGATTTGTTGTTCATGTTGTTATTGTGTTCAGTTCTGTGAATTACATCATACTCGAGCATGCATTTGCACCACCTTAGATGTTATATGCACCACTATCAAAGTCACGACAAAGATATTTATGTCATAAATGAGACAGATGCTCGAAACCAACTTTCTTGCACGACATTAGTTTTGAGTTATTCCACATCTCACCTCTTATTTTTCATTGCCATCGCAATGACAGAGGGAACCCGCAAAGAGCATTTGAACAAGAAGGGAAGCTATCCCACCTATAAACATAAGTGTCACTAATTTTTACGACTCTCATTCAAGAAGGTGTGCAACTTGAGTTGACAACTAATAGAACTATTCGATGGCCACAAGAGTCCCTTTTTCATGCAATACATGCTCAAATTCAAATTAAAGGAGCTCGTTTTGTACCACATTTTGTGTGCACATAGCATTGAGATTCAAAATGATGTCCCTCCTAAAAGAGGAGAACACATTGTAAAATTATTAAACATCCCATTAAAATATGTAAGAGGAGAGGTCCCATAATCCCATTAGACATCATCACTTCGCCAGGATTCCAACTTATAAACCCACTAACTAAAGAAAGCTGACGGCTAACTCCATTAATTTCCAATTATGCGTTAAGCACTCTTCCTATTATCATAACCACAATTTATTGATGATAATGGTTTAGCCACCCTGAAAGACCCTTTTCTATGGTTTTAGCCTGAATGCTCCACCGCCACGAGAGTTCACATCACGGTATATCCACCGGATTGATCTTGCGCATCTAAATGGTGGTTAAGCAACGAATTTTCCGTTGGGAGGGGCTTGGTTTGTTCGTAGCTCATCTTACTATTGAAAAANNNNCGTAGCTCATCTTACTATTGAAAAAAGGTAAAACGACGAGTTCAAAATAATGAGTTAAAGATGTCCATTAGAAATGGATTTAATAGTCCTATATATTATGTATCTTTTAATTTTAATTTTAATGTAATCTCTTTTGGCTTTTTTAAGATTGTTCTTCCCTTGTTAGAGTAGATTCTTGGTGTTGTGTCGAAGTATTCATGGCAGAGTTCAAATAGTATCTTTCGACGAGTTCAAACTATTTTTCATTTTTCAATTCCCATTTCCTTCACATTTTTAGCTTCTTTTTGAGCTTTATTCTTCACTGATCGAGTCATGTTCTTGGTACCATTTCAAAGTGTTCATGAAAACTTCACAATGCATCTTTCCATATTGAAAAACCTTTACTCGATAAGTCAAATAACAAGTCAAAGAAAATTGATAAAATTAAATTTAACTATCCGATGTCGTCTCTATTTTGATGTCAATTTAATAGCTTCAAAATTACTCAGGTCGGTGTTCCTTTTCTTCTTTGAGGTAGTTTCAGTTGTTGCATCTGGTGTTGGGAACAGAGCTCTTTTCACGTCTGGTGGAGTCAGCTCTTCAATGTTTGTGGAGATCTCAATCTGTGTTGTATATTTCTTGCCTTTTGCGGTTGTTTTGGCTTGACCGTTGTCCACTTTGCTAGAATTGTTGAGATCACCTAGCGAAGTTGAGGAATCCGATTTAGTGACTGCAGTCGAAGAATCCACAGCAGTGATTGTTGTCGAAGAATCGAAAATAAGATTATTTCGTATTGATATTCCGGTGGATTCTCTCTTTTTTGTGTTACTTTTAGGTACAGAAGCAATTCTTCTTCATTCTCGGTCCTTATGATACTATTTAGAGGAAATTACACCCAGGCAGATTTTTAAAATACCAATTTCACAGATCAGCCAACCAATTTTACTTTTCAAAAATCAGGTTTATTTTAATTTATTAGATATTAATTATATTATTTTCATCACAATTA